CGGATGTGCACCCCCCTGGGGCAGGAGGGGGACGAATGCCACCCCTTCAGTCACAAGGTACCGGCGTGGGGCTACCCAGTGGGGCTGGGAGCGGGGACAAGGACCGGGCAAAGGGCACTGAGCTCCTCGTCTGGGAGAAAAGCTCCACTAAAGCCCCGGGATGGAGAAGTGGGGTTGGTGTTGGGGAGGATTTGGGATGAAGCTCTGGGCAGCATCACGGTGGTCCCCGAGCTGGCGTGGTGCAGCTGGTTTCAGCCTTTAAAGTATTCTGAGCGACTCCCTGCCTATCCGTGCCACCCGAAATCCTCGGGATGCCCCCCGGGTGCTGCGGACCTTGCCTTGGAGCTGGGAGCGAGCCGCGCTGCTCCAAATGGAGCCGTAAATGCCCTGCCGAGCGAGGAGAAGCCGAGTTAACGCTGCAGACCGGCCCCAGCACCATGATTTCTGTCTGATGAGCAACCCCAGTGCGCTGGGATTAGCCCAAAGCGCGACACTGCTGTAGTCCCTCCTCCCTGAGGGTTTACCAGCAGCGTCGCGCTCCACGCTCCCCTATTGATTTTGCACGGCGGGAGCAAGATTTAGTGACCCTGCGCCTTCTGCTTGCACAAGGAAGGAGCAAAGGGCTTCAGAGGGATCAAAAATTAATTTCAGGCATATCCCCGTTAAACCTCTGACAAGAGCCGGGGATTTTCTCAGCGCTTTGATCCCATCTGATCATTTTTTGGTTGCGGCACAGCCCTGATGCCCTCATCTCTCCTGCATCTCTCCTGTATCTCTCTGCAGGTTCCTTTCTTCGGGAAGCGCCAGCACCACACCTGCCCGTGTTTGCCCAACTTCATGTGCTCCAGGTTCCTCGACGGCCGCTACCGCTGCTCCGTCAACTTCAAGAACATTGATTTTTTAGGGTGATGCTCCCAGCTCTCCATCCGTGAGCCCCCAGCACCCATTTCTTGCCCTCCCCCATGGACGCCGTGTGCCCACATAGCTGCAGGCAACCCTAAAAGTGCTTTTCCAAGGTAGATGGTGTTATAAGCTATATGTTATATGGGGAAACTGAGGCATGGTCAGGACAAGCTGCTCCGACATGCGGCTTAGCAAAGCTCGGCCCCAGCTCAGAGCTGGGCCCGGCTCCAGCACCCTCTGCAGAGGAGTGGATCGAAGGACAGTGTCGGTGGCAAATGTCTGTGGCTTCAAAAATCCCTCTCACAAGATGTTGTCTCCATGTAATGGATGCTGTCAGGTAGCTTTCACCTCCCTCCTTTATTTAATACAGTAAAAGTCAAGGGTGATGCAATCTGGGAAGAGTGACAGTAGATGCCGAGCACCCAGCAGCCAAGAGCTTCCTCCCATGGTTTTTATCCTGGCACATGGTAAAATTTGGGACTTGAAGCTGAGCAGCATCGTTTCATCTGCCAAAGCATCTGCAGGGCTGAGCCCAGCGCCAAAGGTGGTGGTGGAGACCTGACTTTAATTATTTTTACACTTTTCCGTCATGCACTAGGACAGATAAAAATCAGAGGGGCAGAAACTCCCTTTTGCGGGGAGTTTTAGCAGTTTCCCTGCAATTCCTACTGGATAAACCATTTCTGTAACAATTCCCATCGTGATATTGCCCAATCGTGTCTTATCAGCCTATTTTTTCCTGGAAGCAGCTCTTCAGGCTGGTGATGGATGGTCTAATTTAGCTGGCAATTAAAAGAAATCGATATCAAGTAGCTGTGGGGAATTAAGGACTGGCTTTCCCCAAAGTTCAAGGAATGCAATGTGTTTGGCAGAGGCTGAGGCAGGGCTGGCTGGAGCCGTGTCGTGCCAGATGTGCGTCTTTGGGACATGGGAAGATGTTTTCCAGCCTCAGCATCTGCCTGAGGTTCAGGCACTGTTTGAGGTTTGGGAGCCTCTCTTTATGTCAGTCGAATTTGAAAGGAGAATGGGATATTGAAGTTAATTAAATGCACTCAAAGTTACCTCAGACACGTGCTTTCAGTTCCCCTCTTAAAAACACATTGTGGAAAAATTGCGTATCACTTGAGCTTCCCTCCTGCTTCCTACGGCAACCCCCGGCAAAAATAAATAAAAAGAAATAAAGAAAAGAACTAAAAAAGAATAATCAGCATTTACAGCAAAAAGCCCACCTCGACTGTTTCCTTTCAAGCAGAAGCAGAGCTTAAACAAAGCTTATTTGGGGGTTCCAACTCATGCTTGTGCAGAGCTGCTCCTGGAAAGCCCTTGGGGTCCAGTGCGGGGAGCCACGGCACTGCTGTGCTCTGGGCCCTCCTGGTTTGGTGGGTTTTGGTGGGTTTTGGTGGGTTTTGGTGCTATAGCAGCACCTGTTGCTATTTCTAAAGCCCCCAAAGGACACCAGGTGCATGGCTGCAGCAGTTGCTGTGTTATCCTGAAGGGTAAAGTAACTCAGATTTGGCATTTGATGCTGGGTGAAAGCTTCCCCACGCTTGTTTCTCCCCCAACAAAATATTGTTAATCTGGTGAAAATAAAACACTGCAATGGCTGCATTGATTTTATTTAGGTTTTTTACACATTGGAAGTTTTGCCTTTTATTTATGGAAGAATAGTCCTGCAGCGGGGATGCTGCATCTGCCCAGGCAGTGATACCCATTGCTTGGCATTGTGGACCATGGATTCCCGTGTGGAAAGGGGTCCCATAGTAGCACAGACAGGGCAAAAAGTCAGGAAAAACCCACAATGTTTCATAACGGTGTTAAAAACCATATAATTTCAAGATTTGGGGTTCTTTTATTAAGCTGCCTTACTTTATTAGCTGCTTCTGGCTTTCCCACAAGCTTGGACTGCGATTTTTTTTTTTTAGTTAATTTTTAGACATCTTCTGGTGGAAAATAGTGCAAATTATTTTCTCCCAGCAGAAAAAACATCAACAAAAAGAAATAAAACAACCGAACAGCTTCTTACTACCCTCAATTCCCATTGTGGGGGGACTCCCCGGACCCAAGGGCAGCGCTGCGTGGTGGGAATTACTGGCCTCCCAGTGGCTTTAAACTGCAGGAGGTGACAATGTAGTGGGAAATCACTGGATTTTGGCATAAATACATAGAGGGACACCTCCATTGCAAGAACAGGCTCTCTTTCTTGATTTAATATTATTAACTGAAGACGTCAGGAGTAGTCCAGGTGAGGGATGGGCAGCCAGAGCAGGTCTCTGCCCTTGCTCCCCTCTCCTGTGCTCTTGCTGGGGATGGGTCCTTGCATGGTTTTCCCTGCAGTTTAGCAGAAGAAACCCTTTTAAGCTGCTTTCAAAGTGCATTTGGGGAGCAAAACCTGGCAAATCACCTTATTTTATTTTTTTTTTTCTTTTCCCCTAGAGGTGGAAACCTCCGTGCAGGGGGAAAAAGCACAAGCAACAAAGCCAAAGCTCACGTCCTCCTGTGGGGACGGGGGGAAAAGTCAACACAAGCTCGTGATCAGGAGCATCGGGGGCTGTTTGCTTCCCGTGAGCGGCTGTCGCCCCGCGGCACGGGGCCAAGTGTCCCCCTCGTCCTCCCGCACGTGCGGTTCCCCACCCGCTGTTTAATGTTCTGGCTCCAAGGTGACCCGTGCCCAGCGGCACAGGCCAGTGTGGGCTGGAATCCAGGCAGGACACGGCTGGGACCCGAGTGGGACATGGCTGGGACCCAGCCAGGACACGGCTGAGGTGTCACAAACCCAGCGCCGCATCCCGGTGATGCTCCCAAATCTGACCATTCCACACCTGAAATAATTGTGTGCATCGTTTCCAAACAGCATGAAAATGTTCTCTTCTCTTCTCTTCTCTTCTCTTCTCTTCTCTTCTCTTCTCTTCTCTTCTCTTCTCTTCTCTTCTCTTCTCTTCTCTTCTCTTCTCTTCTCTTCTCTTCTCTTCTCTTCTCTTCTCTTCTCTTCTCTTCTCTTCTCTTCTCTTCTCTTCTCTTCTCTTCTCTTCTCTTCTCTTCTCTTCTCTTCTCTTCTCTTCTCTTCTCTTCTCTTCTCTTCTCTTCTCTTCTCTTCTCTTCTCTTCTCTTCTCTTCTCTTCTCTTCTCTTCTCTTCTCTTCTCTTCTCTTCTCTTCTCTTCTCTTCTCTTCTCTTCTCTTCTCTTCTCTTCTCTTCTCTTCTCTTCTCTTCTCTTCTCTTCTCTTCTCTTCTCTTCTCTTCTCTTCTCTTCTCTTCTCTTCTCTTCTCTTCTCTTCTCTTCTCTTCTCTTCTCTTCTCTTCTCTTCTCTTCTCTTCTCTTCTCTTCTCTTCTCTTCTCTTCTCTTCTCTTCTTCTCCTCTCCATCACACTTTTACACCAAGCACAAAACACCACTTACACCCCAAATTTCTCTCTACAGCAGCTTCCAGGGCCCCCAGCACCATGTGCTGCTCCAGTCAAGCGGGACGGTGGTTTTCTGCCTTTGGCTTTGCAGGGATCTGCGACTCCTTGGTTTGAATGTCCTCGGGGTAATCTTGAACCCAGACGGCAGCCTCGGAAAAGCTCCTTAGCTAACGGCAGGG